ACTAGTGGAACAAAATGAGAGTTTATCAGAAGAGATAGAGGATCCCCCAACCAGCACATTAACCATAGTGAGCAAAATCACATTTCACAGTATTTTGTGGTGCAGGAGTGAGTGATTATAACTAATTCTAAACATTAGATAGACAGTTTATGGTCACACTGTATTTGGATGGTCCCCTACAGATGATCTACAGATACTTAAATCATTAACACACTTTCTGGTAAAACTCAGTTGATTATCAACAACATTACGGTTAGGGTTAGGTTTAAGAGTAGATGTAGGTTTGGCTTTAAGGTTAGGGTTAGATTTAATAGAATCTTTCACACTCAACTTTACATTCTGTTGCATTTCATAGATATTTAATTGAATATTACTAAAAGATATACTGAGCATCTACAAAGCATCTACAGTGGACCATCCAAATATAGTGTTACCCATTTTATAATGGATATAAACTCTGATGTTTATTTGTATATTTATCTTGAAACTTGTTTTACTGTCAGACGGTTTTACATAGATTGTGTTTAGCAGAAAAGTCAGAAGAAAGTCAATTAATCACCTCATTTACTTGGACTGCGTGACCTTCAGCAGCTTCATCAACAAATAATAAAAAGAAACAAAGAAAATCATTTTCAGTTTTGTGAAAATATATAAATGTGTCATATCAGTTTCAGAGATAAAACCTACCTGTTGTGTAATTTTCTACACAGAAGCTACACAGAAGCTCAGTCATGGAGATGATGTTTGATGCTGCTAAAGCAAAAATGACTGGGACCAAAACACTGTTCCCTGTAATAAGAAAATAAATATGATAAAAAATGTATGCAGAAAAAATGTATTAAGCAAAATGTATTTAAGGAAATATAACTGTATCTCATTTCTGAAATCAAATGAATGTAAATGGCTACATCACAAATGTTTAAGTGAACTTTGTCTTATAAAATTGGGATGTGGTGAAGTGCCTCCCACTTTTTGAAAGCAATCAATAATTTTTGGCTTGCTAATAAAGCTACATAGCCTAGATTATTGATGACAAACTGCTATTAGTCATATTGCATTGTCACTGTAAGTGAGGGTGGCTGTGCGAGCGAAGACATACACCACATGCACATAATTGTACCAAAAAAGTCTCAATGTGAGTGTGTAGCAGCGCTTAGCAGCTAACTTTGCTAGCTTTTATGTGTGACATTACATGATTATTAGGTTAATTATTCTAAAAGGGGTTCACATTCAGAGAGTTGACTTATCAGAAAAAGTTTACCATCTTCAGAAGACCATTCAGTTACTTTATATGAGAAACCTTTTGTACCTATAAGTTCACAAAATACTAATATCACTTCACTGAGTTGGTAAAGAGCTGTCAACTGTCTGCAAAAAATCCCATACAATTAAAACTCAAACAGACCCAGAATAGATAGTTGTTTTTTTGTGTAGTTCTAGTTTGCATTGTGAAGGTCTTGCATGCTACAGTGTGTTTGAGGGCGTGTCAGGTTGCAAACTTTTGAGAAGGCTTGAAAACTGCTTTAGGCTCCCATTAACAGTGAATTCAGTCATAAACAAATGATCATGTTATGTGATCTGACACATAAGGCTTTCATTTCCGCTCCTGAAGTCCTAACCACTGAGAGAGCTCACTTGGCTGAATACAACAACCATAATGCTTAAAAAAAAACCTTGAATTGCCAGGGACCAGTTTTATTAAATACTTCTGTAACCTAAGAATAGCTCAGCCAGTTTGTAGTCCATGTAGTTACTGAATAATAAGCCTTATATTGTACTAAGCCTGGAATTTTAAGGGGTTAAATGAACAAATTATATTCAATGAAAACATAGAAGTATTTTTTATTTTTATTTCACAGAAATCCTTAGGGTTTGTCTGTAGGCCTAGAAGGCCCTGATGATTCCCCACTGCTAACATTAGCCATTGATTCACACTGGTCAATCTGAATGCTTGTGTCTAATGATTAGGCTCAATTTGTTTCTTTGTTCAACTCTTATTGTTGTCTTATTGTTTTCCTATCCAGTGTTGACCAGAGCAGGATGGGCTTCCCTTTTGAGTCTTGGTTCCCCTCAAGGTGCTTAGTCCCAAATTACTGTGTGCCTGCTTACTGACAGTGCCCATTGTAAGATGTGTATTGAACCGAATTGAGTATTTCAGTTTTCAGATATCTTTATCTGGCTGCAGATGTGTTCTTAATCCATGTTAATGTTTTCCACGTTCTGTTTTTTGCTCATGGACAGTGATCTAGTCAGTTATTAACTTTGTTTTCTCTTCCTTACTGAAATAGCACATCCTTGTTGACAACTTTCAGCTAACCTCATTCAGGGCACTGACACCTGGAGTAGTAGTCGTATTTTGGTGGGCGTCCATTTATGAAAGATGCTGATCCACTTTTGTTGAAGACAGGCTGAACAGGGGAGGCTGTAGGCAAGAGACTGTGTGGCTGTTATGGCTCCAGGGACAAAGAAAATTTGAGCAGCTAGTTTACTCCAAGTTCTATCAGGCACCATCTTTGAAACTAACACCAGATCAGTTTAAAAAGTGTGGTCAGTTTTAAGAGTAATCAAGGAGGCTCTGAGAGCAATTTGTATTGTTCCTCAACTTTGTCTTGGAAACTTCCTGTTAAACAGAGTACTTAAAAATCCTGAGGGCCTCTGTGGGCCTGTACAATTATTCTCATCAGTTTCTCAACTTACATGTTAGCAGTAGTTACCAAATAATTACTGTCTAATAAGTATTTTCCCTTTTTATTTCATATTTTCTGTTTGGGTCATATTTACAATTCATAACGAAGATACATCCAGGGTTCAAAGGGTTTAAGAAATGTAATGCTTACTTTACAAATACACACACACACACACACACACACACGCACACACACACACACACAGAAAGCTTGCTGAACTTAAATTTATTTTAGATTTCAACAATTATTATAGAAATGTATTTATTTTATTAGTCTTATTTAGTAATTATTTTTTGGTTCCATCATTTAAAACCACAACAACAAAACAACAGTAAGAGTAATATACATTAAAATACTGCATTAATAGCAATTAGCCAGTTATTCCTCAGTCTGCATGATTACAGTAGCATAGAGAGTCTTATAAGCTTCATAAAGTTCAGTTTTGTTGGTAATAAATGACCTTTGAGTTCACATCTTCAGTCTTCTGCTGTTTTTCACTGCTGAAACTCTCTGCAGCAAAGTACGAAGCTTCATTACATGCAGCCTGCAGAAAGAGACTGACTTTATTACACTGTATTTCACAGTTTCACTGCATAATGACACATTCTGTAGCCTCATAGTCGAGTTTATCAGAAAAGATTTAAAGTGAATTAATTACCTGATCTGCATGAACTGTGTGACCTTCAGCAGCATCTTCAACAAATAACAAGTAAATCATTCAAACATGCAGGATTACACTATTACAGTTCACTGCATTCATACACTAACATTAGATATTAATAATAATATCAGTTTCAGAGGTAAAACCTACCTTTATGATGACTGCTGTGTTTTCTGCACACAAATAAAGCCACACTCAGAGAGATGATGTTTGACACCACTAACACGACAATGGTTGGGTCCAAAGCACCTTTTTCTGTAATAAGCAAGAAACATCAACCTAATAACTTTACCAAAATTAATGACTCTGATGTAAAGACAAATATGCACAGTTGTGAGTATGAAGACGTACTGTTTGTGATTTATATAATGATATAAATGGATCTAGAATTCTAAAACAAATAGATTTAAATGGCCGTCATAGAGAACCACTTTTTCTGTTACACAACACAGGTGGAAAAATCTTTAAGGCTCTCAACACTGCATAAATGCATATCCCGTGTCATTTGTATCATTATAAAAAGAGAATAAAAAAGAGAATTAAATTAAAAAATTTTACTGTGACAGATTTTCAGAGAAAATTACATTGTCAGAAAAATCGTACAGCACACAAACCAGCTAAATGTATCCACAATGGGACAACAATGGTATTAATGTCTAAACGTACAAAGCAACATTATATTCACTTCCCCTAGAGCAAGAGTCGGCAACCCAAATGTTAAGAAGAGCCATTTTGTCCCTTCAACAAAAATCAAACCACCTTGGGAGCCACAGTGTTGTCCATTTTACGATCTTGGCTGTAATCATGTCTCAGTAAGTGTTACAAGCATAGGCTAAAAAATATAAACGAAAACACTGACTTACTTTGCTCTGCTTTAAGTTTAAGCTCAGCTATAACCACTTTTCTCACATCTCCGGCAGGATACTTTTCCGCAAAAGTAGAATGGTTTCTTGTAAAATGTCTCTTAATGCTAGAATTTTTATGCAATATGAGTCCAAAGTCAGCTTGTCATTCACCAGCTTCAGTTTTCCTGTTCCACCAATAGTGCCTGATGTGCCAGAATGTAACTGCTAACCCTTTAAGGTGGAACTGGAAAATTTGAACAAAAAGCTGGAGTGATTATACGTATAAATAAGACTGTTCTTTGTAAATCTTTCTCTTTGCCGTTTCAATAGCTACTAGCTAGTGTCCAGCAGTCTACACCAGGGTTAAAGGTTGGTGAATTAGAAGTTATAGGCTACTGTAATTCCAGTGTTTAAGACGATTTATTACTAAAACTAGAATGTTAGAATGGTGTGTCAGAACAATCAACAGAGCTTTATTTTACTGCATAGCAGAATTATTTTATTTTTACCTAAAAATCTAATTCTGTTGTGGAGCCGCAACAGGACAGTAAAAGAACTGCATGTGGCTCCAGAGCCACATGTTGGCGATCCCTGCCCCAGAGAAATGTTCATATTTTTAACTTTTCATACTTTCAATTTTTTTTTTTTTAAATGCAATACAATGCATGGAATTGAGACAGTGTGTATGTTCCCTAACCAAAGGTTCTTAAGGCGTACTGTTGAGGTGTACTACTGCAGTGACCGTTTATCTGAGAGCATAGATTGCGTTTAAGGCTATTTAAAGGAACTTAAAGTATATGATCTTACCTACAAAGTCCAGTTTAGTTCCGTTCCCAAAGATGATCTCTCCACACATGAGCACAGCACAGTAGTAAGTTCCATCATCAGAGAGGCTGAGGTTTCTCTTGGGGAGTTTGTAGACACAGCTCTGTGTAGGAGAATCAGTCTCAGAGCTTTTCTTACACTCATCACTCCTGTTTCCATGAGTGTAAATGATTCCTGGATGAGATTCTCCTGATCCATGTCTGAACCAGTACACACTGTGTTCTCCTGCAGACGTATCTGTGAGTATTGAACACTGCAAAGTTGTATCTCCTCCCAGTTCAACAGGATCTGATACAGGAGGCTGGAGAACAGCAGAGATACTTGAAGATGAACCTAAAGAGAGAAAAATGTTACTGATTATTGCAGTAGATGTAAATGTAGATGTCAAGATTACAATATAGAAAGATTTGTGTTTCAAAATTAATGGTATTTAATAAAAGCAGACTGTAGTAGACGAACACCTACCTTTGAGTACGAAAACTGTACAGTCTAATAAGGCAACACTTGTGTAATATGCAACAGCACAGTAATATGTAGCTGAATCAGATGGTTCTGCATTTGAGATACTCAGATTAAAACTGCTATTTTCTCTAAATGCATTAAAGCGTCCTCTTTTGTTAGGGCTATAATGATATGTCACTTTTCCAGAATGAAAAGCAGAAGCGATGGGAAGAGGCTTTTCTCCTGGAGTCTGTTTGAACCATGCAGTCGCTGATGCATCAGCAGATGAAAAAAAGCAGGTCAGATTAATATTTCCCCCATTATGAATGTACTTCAGTCTATTAGGACATGGAATGTCAATCTTTGAGGCACCACCTGAAAGAAAGAGGGAAAGCTATTGTTTTTTGAGAATATATGAAAATGAATGAAAACTGATGTCAATCAGGTAGTGTAGCAGTCTACAGTATAGAAAAATGTGAATGTTTTACTATTGAAAAAAAAATAAAACAGTACCTAGTGCTGAGAGCAGAACAAGTACACAAAACTGAATCATTGCCGCACTCTTCAAGCAATGGATACCCTGAAAAAAATTAGTTAAACTTTACAAACTAATAAAGCATTAATACATAATTAATAAAACCCAAATAAAATATAGTTGCAAAGCAATGCTACTGGAAGTTCATTTTGTGAGCTCACTTACAGTTCTTGAAGGACAAAGGTAAACGTCTGAGATGTAGATAACCCATGCACCACTCTGTACTTAAAACTTCTACAAGAGCAGCTTTATAATTCTGTGCTAACAGCTGATTGGCTCCCAAAACAGGAAATACAATTGGGCCCCAGCCACACACATCAAGGCTTTAGTGCTCTATATTCAAATGACCGCTGCTGAGTTATAAACCTGGTTTTGTCAAAGCAGTCTTGAGAAATATAATTCCAATGTATACTACAGGCTCACAATAAACAATTTCAATCACTTGTAAAACCTAAAAAGCAAAAAAACTAAATGAAAAAATAGTAGAATAAAGCATTAATTGAATTAGTTACTGATTTTTTACTGAATACTCAATGAACGACTGAATGTTTACTTCATATTTTGTGAGTGCACACCGGCACATAGACCTCACTGCCATTTAAACAGCAGGATTTCTAGTGCTGTGGTGATGTGTGTGTCTGTGATAGGTCAGAGTTACTGAGGTGAAATCTCCACAGGCGGCAGTACTGAAATAGAGAAAGCAACCAAGAGTGATGAAGCTTATTGAACCCAAGCTCACTCACAAAGTTAGTAGTGTGGTTTGTGGGCAAAAGGGCAGCAGCTCAAGCCCACTCTGGGGTCTAACTGAGCATGTGCATGATTCTTCACATAAAAGCAATTTCCTTAAAGAAGTGCTAAAGGTTTCTACAAAATAATGGGCTGCATTTCCCTCTTATGCACACATACATGGTCTGGGTTGTTTCATATTCACTTTGATTTACTAAACTTAGAGCAATGAATTGCTGCCGGTTTTGCACTGGATTCTCTCTGCTTCTTAAAACCAGGTGTAAATCAGCAGTAACATAAAGGTAACTAAAGGTGTGTTGTAAGGCTGCAATGGTCATAGTGGCTAGATGGAGGCACAGGCCTTAAACACGTGCTGAAAGAATATTTACCAACAAAATAACACTGTTTATTACATGTGGTCCCTGCTTTACACTGTGTTTGGCTGCTTACTTGTTCATAGTAATATGTCTTGGTATCATGGGTTTATTTTTATTCTCTTTTTTTGAGTAGGTCATTGTAGACTTCTAAGGCTCAATTACTTTCTTTGTTCAGCTCTTACTGTTGTGTTATTGTTTTGCTATCCAGTGTTGACCAGTGGAGGATGGGTTCCCCGTTTGAGTCGTGGCTCCTCTCAACGTTTCTTCCTCTTGCTCTTAGGATGTTTCTCTTGTCACCGTTGTGCTCGGCTTGCTCACTAGGGGCTTAGTCCCGAATTACTGTGTCTGCTTACTGACAATGCCTATTATAAAATGTGTACTGAATTGAGTATTTCAGTTTTCAGAAACCTTTATTTGGCTGCAGATGTGTTCTTATTCCATGTTAATGTGATAATGTGTTAAGAGAAAAAATGCTAGCTTTTATGCAGTCTGATCATGTTATTTTATTTAATATCAACTTATATTTACTTGTAAAATACCGTTCAGCACAATTTTCTTTGTTCCTATGTGTAGCTTAGCAGTTCTTCATATGAAGTGATTGGCCACATTCAGGAAACTGACCTCTGGAGTAGTAATCGTATTTTGGTGAGCATTGATATATGCAAGATGCCGATTCATTTGCTGAAGACAGGCTGAACAGGGGAGGCTGTAGACAAGATACTGTGTAGCTGTTGTGGCTCTATGGGCAATGAGAACATGAGAACCTGAGAAGCTAGTTTACCTCTACAGCCATGTTGCTGAACTTTTTACTCCAAGTTCTGTCAGGCACCATGTTTGGCAAAAATAGACACTAACACCAGGTCAGTGTAAACTGCTCAAATGTGGTTTTAAGAGTAGTCAAGGAGGCTCTGAGAGCAATTTGTATTATTCCTCAGCTTCGTCTTGAAAACTTCCTTTTGAATAGATTACTTAAAAAGCCTAAGGGCTCCTGCGGGCCTGTACAATTATTAATATATATATAAGTTTCTCAACTTATATATTTATTGTAGTTATCAAATTATTTATAGAAATTACTGTCTATTAAGTCTTTTTCCATTTTATTTTATTTTCTGTTTGTGCTATATTTAAAAATAATAATAAAAAGACATCTAGAGTTTGAAAGGGGTTAAAAAAATGTAACACACACATTACAAATATATACACAAACACACACACACACACACACACACACACACATTATCAAAGTCGCTTATAATTCTGGGTCAGAGGGGGTGCTGGAGCATATCTCAGTGGTCATTGAGTGAAACGCAAGAATCACCCTAGACAGGTTGGCAGTCCATCACAAGGCACATTACAAACATATAAAAGAAAAGGGCCACAGTGGCCTGTTGTTTGCCTTATAGTGAACGCTCACTCATTTATACTGTTAAACTTAAGATTTTGATCTTTGCTGATCTTACTTTGTTTTCTGGATCAGACAGCATTAAACCTGTCAGATTAATCACAATATACTTAGATACATCAGCTCACTTTTGTCCTTCTTATTAATGTGTTATGACTGCTTATTAATGATTTTTAAGTGTTTATGATCTAACTAATAACCATGAACAAACTAATGTTAAACCATGTATAAACCCTTTATAACGGTTGGTATTATTTTAAAGTGGTACCAAAAAACATTCCTTAAAAAAACCTGTTTTATTCAGAACACACACACATTCAAATATATACTACTCAGATTTGTACTTGACTGACTGACTATTATTTTGTTTCACTGTACCAAGACAACAACAACACTACTACTACTCCTATTGCTACTACTAATGATAACAATATACTTAAAAATACTGCATTATTACAAATTAGCCAGTTATTCCTCAGTCTGCAATCATCACTTTAGCGTAAAAAGGGGAGAGAGTCTTATGAGCTTCATAAAGTTCAGTTTTGTTGGTAATAAATGACCTTCGAGTTCACATCTTCAGTCTTCTGCTGTGGTTCATTGCTGAAACTCTCTGCTGCAAAGTACGAAGCTTCATCACATGCAGCCTGCAGAAAGAGACTGAATCATTACACTGTATTTCACAGTTTCACTGCATAATCAGACATTCTGTAGCCTCATAGTCGAGTTTATAAGAAAAGATTTACAGAGTGAATTAATTACCTGATCTGCATGAACTGTGTGATGTTCAGCAGCATCTTCAACAAATAATAAGTAAATAATTCAAACATGCAGGATTACACTATTATAGTTCACTGCATTCATACACTAACATTAGATATAAATAATGATATCAGTTTCAGAGACAAAACCTACATTTATGATGACTGCTGTGTTTTCTGCACACAAATAAAGCCACACTCAGAGAGATGATGTTTGAGACCACTAACACGACAGTGGTTGGGTCCAAAGCACCTTTTTCTATAAGCAAGAAAAATCATCTTTATAACTTAATCAAAACTTATGACTGTGCTATATAAAATAAAAATAAAAATTGAGAAAATTACATTGTCAGAACAGCGCAGGGTATGTTTGTAACCAAGACCAAACCTTCACCATAAGCCTATTGAATTAATTTAAAATACAAAATATCTGCTCTTACCTACAAAGTCCAGTTTAGTTCCGTTCCCAAAGATGATCTCTCCACACATGAGCACAGCGCAGTAGTAAGTTCCAGCATCAGAGAGGCTGAGGTTTCTCTTGGGGAGTTTGTAGACACAGCTCTGTGTAGGAGAATCAGTCTCAGAGCTTTTCTCACACTCATCACTCCTGTTTCCATGAGTGTAAATGATTCCTGGATGAGATTCTCCTGATCCATGTCTGAACCAGTACACACTGTGTTCTCCTGCAGACGTATCTGTGAGTATTGAACACTGCAAAGTTGTATCTCCTCCCAGTTCAACAGGATCTGATACAGGAGGCTGGAGAACAGCAGAGACACTTGAAGATGAACCTAAGGAGAGAAAAATGCTACTGATAATCGAGTGAGATGTAGATGGAGATCAGATTTACAATGTAGTATAATCTAGGTTTCCAAACTGATTGCATTTTATAAAAGCAGACTGTACCTACCTTTGAGGACTAAAACTGTGCAGTCTACTAATGCGGCATCTGTATAATATGCAAATGCACAGTAATATGTTGCTGAATCAGATGGTTCTGCATTTGAGATACTCAGATTAAAAGTATCTTTTGTTCTTACTGCATTAAAGCGGCCACTCTTGTCAAAATCATTGTGATATGTAACTGTTGTAGAACGAAAACGCAGAAGTAATAAGAAGAGGCTTTTCTCCTGGAGTGTGTTTGAACCATGCAGTTGCTGCCGAGTCAACAGATGGAAAAAAGCAATTCAGATGAATATTTTCTCCCCAATGAAGGTACTTCAGTCCATTTAGACACTGATTGTCAGCCTTTGATGTGCCACCTAATAGACAAAACAATAAAAATGAGGCAAACTGTACTGCTACTTTAAAAATTCATGAAGAGCTGTAGAGTGTGATGAAGTTAGTTAAGTAAGCGAACTGAACCTCATTAGAAGCATAAAAACATTAAAAACATGAAGAAAAGCTTAAACAGTACCTGAAGCTGTTGAGAGGAAAACAAGTGCATAAAATGGAATCATTGCCAAACTCTTCAAGTAATACAGCTCCTGGAAAAAAATAAAGAAAACATACATTCTGCTATTTTATACAAACACTCCTGGTGATAATAATAATAATAATAATAATAATTAATAATAATAATACTCAGTTTATTCTGAGAGCACTTACAGTTTTTAAGGACAAGAATGACCTTTCACAACATAGTTAATATGAATACAAAACTTGTACAGGAGCAGCTTTATAACTCTATGCTGAAAGCTGATTGGCTCCCATAACAGGAAGTAGAATCAGGCCCCGACCACTCACACAGAGAAGCACAAATGCAGAACTTAAAATGCTACTTAATAAATTGACATGAACTTTAAAAATATGTTTGGAAAAACATATGCTTAGTAAAGTGTTGCTGCCTAAAAAAATAATTTTACTTTAAAAAATATGATCCAAAAAGACAGTCTTAACAGGTAAGGTGGATTCCTTGTGATGAGAAATTCTTCATAAACAAAAGCAAGCCTAGAATTCCTGAACCTCTGAGAAACGATACAGAAACAAAAAAGTATTATTATGTAAAATTCATATATTCTTTTCAAAATTTCTACTAGTATATGAATATAAACAGAACAGAGTAGAAAACAAATACAAAACACACACAATAAAAATCTGAAGGTTTATTTTTTGTACTGGTAAATGTTCATAAAGGCAAATGGTAAATAAAGCTGAGCCCCACCAGATTTTTTTTTGCTATACTCTACTTGGAAGGTGCAGAATAACACAACAGCAATTTCCATGACTCCTAAAATAAGTAATAAACCTTCTACATAATGATGATGCATTTCAGTATATAACTCCAGTTTGAGGATGACACTGTAAACACTGGACCTGCAGGCCAGCTGTTGTTAAAGTATACAAGCGTGCCTTGAGCTCATAAACTACAGAACCCATTGTTCTGGTCTTCAGGGGTGGGCTGAGGGTTCCAGGGTCCTAGAACTACACCAGGCCAGGATTATATATGAATTTTACATAATAATACTTTTTTGTTTCTGTATCGTTTCTCAGAGGTTCAGGAATTCTAGGCTTGCTTTTGTTTATGAAGAATTTCTCATCACAAGGAATCCACCTTACCTGTTAAGACTGTTTTGTTGGATCATATTTTTTAAAGTAAAATTAATTTTTTCTAAGTCTGATTTCTTTTAGGCAACAACACTTTACTATAATAATTTTATGATAAAAAGAAATGCTGTAAATATTTTGTTTTCTTTCTTTTTTCCAGTGAACTCTATTACTATTGAGCAGTGACCACAGTCTAAATGACACACACACATACTGCAGTAGAGGATGGACTGTTGAAACTTCCAACCACATCAAACGATTAAACAGAACTTTAACAGCTTCTTAAAACAACTACTCCAAACTCCAAAGAGACAGTCACATAAGCTTCTTTTCCACTGCATGGTACCAGCTTGACTTGATTCAACTTTACTTGACTTTTTTGGTTTTCCATTAGGCAAACCTGGTTCCTGATACTATTTTTGATAACACCTCCATCAAGATTCCAAGCAAGCTGAACCGATACCAAGAGGTAATGTGAAAAAACCGAAGACTACTGACTAGGCAGAGAGAATCACCACTATCAGCCTAAACACTTGGCTAATGTTAGGTACCAGGTTTGCATACCCTTTAGCATCACATTTTAGCGACCAGAATCACCACGTCATCTGAACTCTGTTCATGATGTAGTATTTCCTGAACTCTCCTGTTTTGATTTTAGAAGTCTTTTGTCTTGCTGCCATTAGTCTCTTCTGAGCAAAATTTGTCTCCTTCATGTCACAGCAGTTTTATGTGGCATCTCTATGAGGACCAACCACATTGAGAGGGCACTATATCATATAAACGAAGTACCTGAGGCAAGTAGAGTCGAGTTGAGCCATATGATGCAGTGGAAAAGTTACTATGATGCTCAAATAGAAAAATCACAACCAGAATCAAAAACCCCATTTACATTTGGTCATTTCTTGTGACTTGCGTGTATTGCTTCTATGCAGATATTAACCACATGTATTTACATGTGGTAGACAGCTGTGTTACCAGTTAGTTGGCCTGAAATCAATTTGCTGTTCTGTGCATAATTTGCAAATCAGCTTAAACCAAGACAGCCAACTTTGCTGTTGCCTCCAGAATTACAAATTTATGACGTTGTATATTTTCAGTGTTTACAAGAAGCTGTTTAGACTCATTAGTGTCTTATGGAGCACATCCACTGGAACATAATGTATTGTAGCAAGACATTAAATAACGATAAGCTGAATTAAACAAACTGGTGCTTTATTTACTGGTGGTTTACGTAGCTTTGTTTAAGCTAAGTAGCTTGGCATGCAGGGCCAGCAGAACAGGCTGTTAAACCTGAAGTCATAGAAGAAACTCATATCAGGAACTGAACTGAAAGAGAAGCTCTGTGCATGTGAAATGGCAGCAGTCCAGGGGGTGGGACCACTCCCATATGCAGAAGAGCAGGGGGAGGTGTCATCACAGTGTTGGGAGGGGTTCTGTTTGTCAAAAGTGGTGGAGAGAGACTTAGACTTATAACTCAGTACACGTTCTGAAGTGGTTACAGCATTTTAAATGCATCTTGGGTGCATTTAAATCTGCTTTTTATGTATAAGTATATATCCATTAAAAAGAATCAGGGTCAAAAAGAACCCTAAAATGGCTTATTCTGTACACATCCTGCACTGGTTTACTTAGAAAAAAGAGGCCTTTTCAAAAAAGAACATAGCACATTTTTAGAAATGATTGAAGTTGTCTTTAATGAGAAAAGGGGGGTGATTTAATAGGAGCCACAGACAAGAAAACAGAATCATTAATGATGATCACAGAAGTTAGAAAGTGTATACCTGAAATTACACTGTATTAAAGTACATACATATAAATTCTAAATGTTCCAGTCATTAACCCCTTAAATGGCCAGGGCTAAAACTTTGAAGTTTGAACTTTGAACTGAAATCCCTGTAGTTACTGAATAATAAGTCTTAGTAAGTCATGTACTAAGCCTAGGATTTTAAAGGAGTTCATATAAGATTGGAAAATGTAACATACAGATAAACAACTCACAAACTTTCATACCCAAAAACTTTCAGCATCTTACTCTAACTGTCTTTCCCAAAAACTTTAACTAAGAGTGGACTACATAAAACCAAATACCATCAGCTGATGAATCTTCCTTAGCTTAAGACTGCAATCTTATTACAAAATGCAGTTACCACACATACACTAAGAAAGTAAACTGAATGGGTCTAATATCTTACTTTATAACCTATAGAAACATACATCATTATTAGAATAATTTGTTAGGCCTCTGTCAGAAAATGACATTACATAACACTGGGGGAAAGGATTCTGTAGCTTTTCAGTTCAATAATTCAGTTTTATTGGGGATGTTTGATCTGAGAGTAAACTTCAGTGTCTTTAAGCTTCTGTTGTCTTCTAGTTCCTCTGGATGACGGTGGTTTATTAGAGAAACTCAGTGCTGCATAGTTCAAAGATTCATCACATTCAACCTGAAGAAGAAAACAGTGTTTAACATGTTTAACTGCAAAACTAGAGGAACAAAATGAGTTTATCAGAAGAGTTAGAAGCACATTAAACACAGTGAGCTAAATCACATTTCACAGTATTTTGTGTGATGCAGGGAGGTAATAATTGAAAGTAAGAGTGATTCTAAAGCTCTGACAGAGCCCTTCTGCTTCACTTTATAATGATTATAAACTCTACTGTTTATATGCATCATATATTTATTTTCAAACTTGCTTTACACTCTGAGTTCTGGACTTTCCATAGACTGGGTTTAGAAAAAATGAATTAATCACCTGATTTACTTGGACTGTTTGACCTTCGGCAGCATCTTCAGCAAATAATAAAAGCATTAATGTAGCACAGTAAATTAATTGTAAAATGTCAAAAATGCATTAATTAAGAATGAAAATTAAATTTATAAAACTTACTTGTATGATGACTGTTGTGTAATTTTCTACACAGAAATAAAATCACAGCCATAGAAATGATGTTAGATGCTGCTAAACCAATAATGACTGGGACCAAAACACTGTTCCCTGTAATAAGAAAGCAGGTCTTGCAATGTAATGTAAAATGTGGTGAATGTGATGCAGAAAACGACATACTAATCATAAAAATGCTGAAGAAAAGCTAAAATCATAATAATAAAATATATTTTTGTATACTTTTATCTTGAATCTCAAATTAATATACATTTTAAAGGGCTATATGACAGATCGCAAATGCCTGCTGGGGGCTGTCAGTCCCACATTTGCAAATCAAGCGATAATTTTGGGCTGCATAGCTTGTGTAACTGATGACATATTGTTTTTATTTGATTATCGATGACATGATTTTTCCATAAAATCTCCCACACCAACAGCCAATCACAGACCAACTGCCAACTCCACAGCTTCTTTTGTCAGGCCATAATCTTCCTAAACAAGGACCCTTCTCACATCCCTCTGCTTTAAACTGATGCACATGCACTTTATAACACGTATTGCAATGTATGCATAACTACTGCATACATCATGTCATAATCCTTCTGAATAAGAACCTTTTCCACATTCCTCTACTGTAGTCAGTGCACATATATATATATATATATATATATATATATATTATATATATATATATATATGTATATATATATATATATATATATACTCTGTCTTATATTATTACTATGGTAGGGAAAATCTAATTTAATACATATTTTTCCATTACAAATTATATCAGCATAACTATATGAGTGAAAAATTCAATGGCAGTGCACAGTTGAGTTGACATGAATAATGAGTGAATGAGTCAAATCCATCTGAGAGTGAATTACAAACTTCAATGGAATGGATGAGAAAACATCAGACCTTTTTGTAAAAAGGCCTTAACAAGATCATGTGATCAATGTCCAAAATGTCTTTGTTTTTATTTTGAGATTTAGCTGCAAAAATATCAGATTTTTAATGTGAGCTACACACACACACACACACACACATATATATATATATATATATATATATATATATATATATATTCCTAAATATATCTGGTGCATGGCAAATAAAGATTTAGTTAGTGTGGCCATTCGAGTGAAGACATGCACTACATGCAAGAATCGTATCAAAAAATTCTCAGTGTCAGTGTGTAGCATTTTTACTACCT